AAAGTAATGTTTGGTTTTGCCATTCAAATGACATACAGAAAATATTTTAATCAAAAAAACCCAACAAAATAAATCTAATTCAGTTCTTTTATGGATGGAGTGGTGCATCATTCTATTAAACAGCCTGAAGAGAGATGGGGGGTGGGGTGGGGTGAAATCAAAGGCTTAAACTTATCTTTTTGGTGACAGTGACAATAAAATTGAAGGATCTGAAAAACAGCTGATCCTGGAGGATGGCTGGGAAGGCCACTGCCGCCTTCATCGACATTCTTCCCCCACGGCAATGTCGGCCTTGTGAACCTCTGGCACTGCTCCTTGGCAAAGTCAGCTCCAGGACCACCTTGTTGCTAGGCACGCTGCAAGTGCGTTTGAGATCTGTTGAAGGCATATTCTCACCACGAGCAGTGGCTTGGATTTAGGTACAGATCTTCAGCATTCAAACACTGACATTAACAAACAAACAAAACAAAACCAAAAAATGCGATATATTTATTTGCTTGGCTACAACTGTAATATGGAAAGATAAAATAGTTTCATGTTGAGAACCATCTGTGAGATAGTGTAAGATCTGATGCATTTCCCATCAACTTCATATCCTGTTGCAACAACTATCTTTTTTTTATAGTTAAGCTTAATTTTTCATATGCAAGTTAAAATACCTAATGAAATAACTAATCATTACATTGATATACCTTTCTCAATAGCCAATTTCTAATGTTGACTAATAAGTTATTTTACCCAAAAAAGGGCATTTTATGTTTTGCTGAGTGTGAAAACTAAGTGTGCTTATGGATATTCAGTTGTCAAACACTAATGAATTAAAAATAATTGTCAAAACAATATAAATGCTATTTTTAAAAAGTTTTCATAAACTGTATCTATGAAAGGTGGCTCAATAAAGCAAAACACTCCAAACTTTTCAGCAGAGGAAGCACAAAGATTCTGCACAAGAATAAACCTAGCGTGATACCTCATGTTTTACCAAGTACAATTACAAAATGGATTCTTAAGCAGAAATGGGGAAAAAAAAAAATCTTACTATAAGACAATAAGTAAATTTTTAAAAGACAGCATTGTGCTTTTCATTACTACAGTTTTCTTTCCCTTTAAAGAACAGTATTTTAAGGAGAAATTCACTTAGCCATTCCAGAAAATAAGGAAGCACGTAGAATTTGGTGAAGAAAAAAAAAATTACTTTTCTGGTAGCACTTTTGCTGCCATTACACAATTTTTTTTGACTTCTCCTTGGGCTGAAGACATGAGATTCCAAAAATGGTAACACAATCGACCTTGACATAGCCTCTGTTAAACTACAAGCTAAGTATTCAAGAGAAATGTAACGGCACAACATAATCTACCTGCACAAAGGAGATTTTTTTATATATATATGTGTGTGTGTGTGTATTTCTTTTGCTTACCTATTAGGCATATCTCTTCACTTTGACCTTTTTATGTAAAATATTTTACATATGCTTTCTTCTCATGGCTACTTCTTTTTGTTGTTTTTTTTTTTTTTTAAAGGAACCTAAAGTTTTAGCAACTCCCTCAATGTATCTCTATATGCAGAGACTTTATTATTACCTGTATTATCAACAATGATTTTTATAATGTTGATTTCTTTGCTCAGTGTCTGGTCACCTATTTATTAGGTATTTCATAAATCATAAAGATCTTTAGGCACATGAAAGTGGGATACGTACTCTGGATGCCAGCTTTAAAAGTCTCATTCTTTAATCAGATTTTCATACAAGAACATGAGATTTTATATAACGACAGAATGAAAATCAAAAGTGACAGACTGGGTGACCGTAATTTCTACTGGACTTTTTTTATCCATTAAAACGTCTGGCCATATAAATTTGGAAGAGAATTTAGCACGAGCCGGAATCCTCAGACAGCATTAGTAAAACAATAACAAACCTCCCTCAAATAAAATTTTAAATCATGAGTTTATAAAATACTTTCAAAAAATGAAACACACTTACTAAATTTAAAGATTTATATGCCTGACCACCAGGTCAAATCCTGTCATCTTGCAAACAGCAAGAAGAAACACAGTATTTAACTCTGCTAAGGATGTTTAATTTGACAGATTCCAGGAGACTCAGATTTACAGAGAACAGATTGAAGCACAACTTTACAGCAACTGAAATTCAGGGTCCAGATAAGCAAATTAGCATTCTTGCACCAACAATGTTAAGCCAATGTTTAAGAAACACCCCCCCCCAAAAAAAGGGCAAAGAACCTAAGAACTTATGATTTGTTTGCAGGGTACTGGATTTTTACTACATTCTCTCCCTCCAGGGACAGCCTGAGGAAAAAGGAAATCTTCAGTCCCGCCTGACAACTCCATAAGCTCAACGCGATGGTAGAGAGAAAAGTATTGCTAACTCTGCCCTCTAGGGCAAGAAGCCGGTGGGCTGGTGAGTAAACCTTGTGCTGCAGCCTCTGAAGTGAAGCTCCCTTTCTTGACCTACCGTTTGCAGGCAATAAAGCTTCAAGTTGCTGTACATCAGCTCCGTTTGCTGAGGTTATACAAGCAGGGTTCAACTAAGGCACTACCAATACAATTGAGTTAGCTTGTGTATTTCTACATATTTGTAGTTACAGTACCATGCTAACAATGCATCTACTGCCTCCAGGCTGTATTGCTTGATTTTAATAAAAAAAGTTAGTTCAAGCATTTTCTAGAACTTTCCTTGAATTTCAGGAGGTCCCATA